CCGGCGCGCACTCGCGGAACAGGCGCCCGCCGGGGCAGCCCGCGTCTGCGCGGGGCCGCGACTCACCCACGCAGCCGCCCACGCAGCCGCCCACGCAGCCGCCCACGCACCCGCCCATGCACCCGCCGATGCATTCACTCGTGCATTCCCCAAGGCGTCCACCAGTGCATTCGCCGATGCAGTCACCGATGCATTCCCCAATGCACCCACCGATGCATTCTCCGATGCATCCACCGATGCATTCCCAATGCATTCCCCAACACATTCCCTGATGCATTCCCCCAATGCACCCGCCGACGCATTCCCCGATGCATTCCCTGATGCATTTCCTGATGTGTTTGATACATTCCCCGATGCATTCCCCAAAACATTCACTGATGCATTCCCTGATGCATTCCCCCAATGCACCCACCGACGCATTCCCTGATGCATTCCCTGATGTGTTCGATACATTCCCCAATGCATTCCCTGATGCAGTCACTGATTCATTCCCTGATGCATTCCCCGATTCATTCCCTGATGCATTCCCCAATGCATTCCCTGATGCATTCCCCCAATGCACCCAACGGCGCACCCACCGACGCATTCCCCGATGCAGTCCCCGTTGCATCCACTGATGCATTCCCTGGTGCATTCCCTGATGCATTCCCCGATTCATTCCCTGATGCATTCCCCGATGCATTCCCCGAATGCACCCACCGGCGCACCCACCGACGCATTCCCTGATGCATTCCCTGATGCATTCCCTGATGCATCCACTGATGCATCCCCCAGCGCATCCCCCGACACAGCCCCGGCGCACTCCCCGCGGCGGCACTCACCGCGGCACACGTGGCTGTTGCACGTGCGGCCCTGCAGCGCCGGCCCCGCGCACGGCGCCCGCCGGCAGCGCCGGCCGCGCAGCTGCTCCCCGCCGCCGCACGAGGCGCTGCACGGGCCCCACGGGCCCCACTCGCCCCACGGCTCCTCCGCTGCAGGCAGCGACAGCGGCGATGGCACCGCGGGGATGGCACCGCGGGGACAGCACTCCCGTGCTAACAGACTCTGCACTGCACTGCATTGCACTGCACTGAGCCGCACTGCGTGCCACTGCACCGCTGTGCATTGCCCCACTGCGCCCCACTGCCCCACGTTACACTGCAGCACGTGGCACTGCACAGCAGCCCGCTGCACTGCAAAGCAACCCATGGCACCATGCAGAAGCACAGTGCATTGCACAGCAGCACGCTGCACCGCCTGGCAGCACGGCGCTGCAGTGCACACCACCTCACAGTGCCCTGCAACAGCGCATAGCGTTGCACGCCACTGCGCCACTGCCCTGCACTGCACGGCACCATAAGGAGCTGCTCTGCACTGCCCGGCATTGCGCCACGCAGCATCACGCTGCACAGAAATGCATTGCAGCGACCCACACTGCACGGAACTGCACTGCACTGCATTGCTCTACATCACATTGCCCTGCACGGAGCTCCGCTGCACTGCGCAGTATTGCACCACACAGTATTGCAGCACTGCATGGCCCCACATCGCACTGCACCCCGCTGAGCCGCCCGGCACGTCACCCACGCCCGCCCGGCGCTGCGCCGCACGTCACCTGCGCAGGCGGCCACGGC